CAACTCCAAAAGGGAGAGCATTATACGAAGCTGGTTTAAAAATGAAGTGTGATTTCCATTCATCAGGTAGACCTACATTCTGGCCAAGCGACCCTAATAGATTACCGGATCTTGTAGATTTTTTTATCACCAAGGGTATTTCTAGAAACTACATCGGCATATCTGAAAATTGTGATATCTACTCAGATCACACGCCTGTAGTAATGACTTTTAGTGAATCTTTATTACTGAGGCAAGAACCACCTAAGTTGGGTAATAACAATACAAATTGGGATCAAGTAAGGATAGTGTTAGATGAAAAAATTAATCTGCAAACTCCACTGCAAGATATATTCCAAGTAGAAAATAAAGTTGATATATTCGTTAACGACATCCATAGTACAATATGTACCAACACGCCGGATTCCCAGAATAGTACATTTAAAAATAATGTAACATGCACTTTGGAAATTAGAAAACTATTAAAAGAAAAAAGGAAAATAAGAAAAGTGTGGCAGCACTCCAGACATCCTGATGACAAAACCAAACTTAATCAGTTAAGTAACAGATTAAAGAACCTCATCAAGTCTACTAAAAATGCAAACATATCAAACAAATTACAAAATCCAACAGCGTCCAAAGATAGTGATTACTCCTTATGGAAGCTAACCAAAAGCATATGTCGTCCTAAGTTAGAAATACCTCCCTTACAATCACAGGATTTAAGTTGGATTATCTCTGACCAAGATAAGGCAGATTCTTTTGCTAATTATCTAGAAAAAGTCTTCGTACCATTACCTAGGCAAACATGGCAAGAAAATATTATCTATAGAGGTGAAGAATCTACTGGAATTGAAAGAATTAACAAAATAAAAATGGGTGAATTAAAATTAGAAATAAAAAATACAAAGAATGATAAGGCCCCTGGTTAAGACCTAATTACAGAAAGGATATTAAAAGAATTACCATCTAAAGCCATTAAAAAATTACTATGTATATACAACGCCATGTTACGGTTACGTTTTGTACCTAGGCAGTGGAAAGTGGCGAAAGTACTAATGATTCTTCAACCGTCAAAACCTGCTACCAAAATAGTTCATACAGACCAATATCATTGCTTCCCATATTGTCTAAAATATTTGAAAGATTGTTGCTCAACCGAATCGCACCTATAATAAATGATAAGAGGCTGATACCCGATCACCAATTTGGTTTTCGTCGTCATCATTCAACAATTGATCAAGTTTAGAAGAAAAAGAAATCTGTTTAGTTGTATTCCTAGATGTTTCCCAGGCTTTTGATAAGGTTTGGCACAAGGGTCTGTTATTCAAAATTAAGAGAGACTTACCGAAGCCGTATTATGAAATACTAGCCTCCTATTTAACAGAAAGACATTTTAGAGTGAAGCAAAATAATGAATTTTCGGCTTTCAAAGAAATAAAGGCAGGAGTGCCCCAGGGTAGCGTCCTAGGTCCTATATTATATTTATTATACACCAATGACATTCCAAGAGATGATACCACTCTCATGGGAACATTTGCAGACGACACAGCTATCATGGCTACTGGCATCACCTCTGCTGAGTGTGTAGAAAAGCTGCAATCGAGCCTAGACAAAATTGAGCTATGGACCAAGAAGTGGAGAATTAAATTAAATGGAAATAAGTCAATGCATGTATTTTTTACTAATCGAGAGTTTCAACCGATAAACGTACACTTAAGCAATGTAATAATTCCTATTTCCAACAACGCTAAATACCTAGGCATGAATTTAGATGCAAAGTTAAAATGGAAAAAACATATAAAAAAAAAAAAAAGAACAAATAAACTTAAAAGCACGACAACTAAACTGGCTTATTGGAAGAAATTCAGAAATCAATCTACATAATAAACTTTTGATATATAAACAAGTAATCAAACCCATTTGGACCTATGGTATTCAACTGTGGGGATGCCCGAAAAAAACAAACACACATATCATCCAACGATGCCAAAACAAAATTTTAAGAACCATCACCAATGTACCATGGTTTATCCGTAACGATACTTTACATAGAGACCTGGGAATAACCACAGTAGAAGAAGAAATTAAAATCAATGCTACAAAGCACCGAAATAGACTTCAAAATCATCAAAACATTAATATGATCCAGATTATCAATGAGAACAATGAAATTATGAGAAGACTAAAAAGAACAAAGCCACTGGACTTAGCGCTTTAACTAAATGAAAGTTTAACAACTTACCTACATTGGGACAGCTCATCAATGGATGGAATCCCACAAACCGTGATATAATTTTAAGAAAACTAAATTGCTAGATAAACCCTTTGGGCTTAGTTGCAGTATACATATATAATTAAAAAAAAAAAAAAAAAACTAACTTTTCAATCGTGTATTCTAGACCAAAATATTAAACAGCAAAATTATTTTTCAGAAATGTCATTTCGCCAAAAATACATATGCAATTTTAACAAATACATTCACAGAAAACCAGATAAAGAGGCACATAACCAACCGGAATGTATATTGTCTAGCTTAGTAAAAGTATTCCAAAAGATTATGAAAATGCATCTTAAACTCTTCTTTACAATTTTAATAAGCTTACAATTTACTAACAAGCTTTTAATTAACATATCTAGAAAAATGTGAATTTGACTAGAGTTTCAGTTTGTTTAACAAGCACTGATCTTTCGTAAAAGCTTTTAGATTCATTGTTTTAACATCTCGAATTTAAATAATAATTTTAATGAAATAGTTTGATTATTTTTCTTTATATACGCAATAATGTATATTTGGCCCATAGTAAACGTCCAGTTGCTGACACCTGATTTCTTAAAAAAGTTGGGCGGTTTTGCGTACTGTCAAATGAAGCTTGTATTAAAATTTCAAGTCAATTTGTTACATATTTTCTTCAGAATAATCAAAAATGTAAAACACGCCTGTTAAAGGGTCCACTATATTTTCTATTCTATACTTTTCATATTCTACCTTTTATACATATGAATACATATATTCATATCATTTCATTACAAAATTATGTTCAGAACTTGTTCTTAAAATTAAAAATATTGCGCAAAAATATAACATTGTCTTCGTAAACAAAATTTCATATGAAATCCATTTTAAACAAAACTGAATTCAAAAAGCGTGTCAATTTTTGAACGACAGGTTAGATAAGACCTTTTATCTTTTATACAAATGTAGTAAAGGAGTGTGAATGCATTTTTAGCGGAATGTCTATTCCAGAGCACTTTTTTCGAAAGTTAAGTTTTTTTTTTCATAAAAAAGTTGACGGAGATCCAAAAATATGTTTTTATGTAAATTTTTCTGTTTTTCTGAAATTCAAAATTATTTTCCCAAAAAGTTTATGTTGTTAATTTTTGAGTTCGCGCTTTACATAATATGTGAATTGACAAAAATCAGATAAATTTAACATTAGAAAAAAAAAACAAGCAACAAATAGAAAAAAATATATCTACCGTTGCCAAAGGCCAAAATATCAATACGTTGCGCAGACGCGTAAGTCATTTGCGTGACCTGATTTTACATGTACGGGCCTAAAAACATTTTTGTACAAGCACTTCCTGCTACGCCTCTATTTAGTCAAATGCCTTTTGTTTGTTTGTTTTTCATGTTAACCCGCTAAAGCTCTCAAATTAAAGCAAATTAGCACGCTAAAGCTCTCCACACCACTTTTTTGAGACAAAATGCTACTGAAAAGCAAGTTGAAATTAACACTGCAATCGAGTCAACTTCGACATAATTCGTATGTTTTTCCTCAATTAATTTTGTATTGAAATTATTTTCTAGTTTGAAAAATTCTTCTTGTTCTTTTATAACTCTACAGTCCGGGATGGACCTTGGCTTCCTTCACTTTCTCTTCCAATATTTCAAACTTGAAATATTTTTGTTTCATATATAAACAAAATTTTTAACAATGCTTTAGAAATTTAGAATACATACAACGATTTTTGAACGTACTTTTTCTTATCAAACATCCTATTTTTGCAGATTTAAAGTTTTAATTTGTCGTATATTAATTTTAAGTTAACAGTTAACACTGATTATTTAAAATACCCAATGTTTTCATCAATATAAGTATACAAAAAAATTTCAGTAAAATTTCCTAATAAAAGCAAAATTTGTTTAGAATTTGGTGAATTTACCCTATAAAAATTTAAAATTTATTTTTATTTTTTTTTTCGTAATTTTACTCTAGGCACTATACTTATTAATTAAAGCAACTACACGTTGTATCAGCAATTCAGTTTATTTGTATTGCATAATTTTAATGCAGAAAGAAATAAGAAAAAATATAAAATGTATATCAATTACCAATTGTAAATAAAAAATGTACATATATGCAGTAATTTTTTTTAATAACCCTAAAAAAGAATTAGAATTTATAGTGAACGATGAAAGATTCATTTTTAAGGAAGCGAACTAATCATCTAAGTTGTGTGAAGTGATTCGTTCTTTAAGATTAGTTCGTTCGCGAATGACAAATATTTAACTCCAAATGTTTTTTAAAGTACCTTTTTAAATTTCAATGGGGAAGGCCTGTATCGATAGGTTTTCTATAAATTTTAGGACATATATTTTTAATAAAATTTATGTTTAATGCAAAATCCCTTCTTTCGACAATTTTACAAACAGCAAAATAAAGCTTCCAAATTTATTTAAATAAAAATATTTTTAGATGTAAGTTTCCAGTTTATCATCATGTAACATTTTTTTACTATTTTTTGTTTAGATCCAAATTACCAATCTATCTCGTGTATACCTAACATTTTAAATTGTCTAATTTATACCTTACCTTACGTTATTCAAACATGTACATATGTACATAACCACATATGTATGTATATAACTTTTCTGATTTTTCATAATTTGCCTTTTGTATAACACCACTATTTTTTATAATGCAAAAATGAGAGTCAGATGCTGAACATTTTGAAATAGCGTAGACTCCTATAATGTCTGTGGAAATAGGCTTTAAGGGAAAAATATTTTTATTTACCTTTGTAAATTCCATTTAAACCCAACTCAATTTCGCATCAATAAACATCGGAAGTTCAATTGCTGTATGCGCGTTGTGTTCTTCTCGAAAAAGGTAACTAAGAATTTTCTATTATGAGTCAGTGATATCTATTTTCTTCAAATCAATGCGGTTAAGTGTCGATAACCTCACAATAATCCACTATATATGTGTGTATGTACATATATAATATCTTCCTCTTACTTTTATTTTCATACAAAAATTAAGCATTTTTCGCAATTGTCAATATACATACATATGTATTTAACTTTAAACAAAATTACAAAATTATGTTATGTATGTACATACAATGTATATATGTAATTTGTGATGCATATATACATAAATATATGTAAATTTATTATTTACTTTTATAGTAATATATATACACACACACATATATATATATATATATATATATATATATATATATATATATATATGTATGTATGTAGCCGCATTAAATTATGAAAATTTGTATTTTGAGCACATGTATGTACATATATTATTAACTTCTCATAAAATTTTTTTTATATAATATTCATGAAACACATTGTTTACTCTTTTTTTTGTAAATTGCACCTAATTAAAATTAAAAAATTTAAAAAGCAGAACTTTTTTGTAAATTGCACTTAATTTAATTAAAAATATTTAAAAAGCTGTCACAACGCTGGATAAATCCGTTACAAGCACAACATATAGTTTACAAAAATAACTAATATTTTAGTTTTTAATGATAAAAATTATATACACCTTTGCAACATACATTATTCTTCAACAGCTATGCTAATGAAATGTGTAAAAGACCTACATACTCAAATTGAAATGATCTTGTCTTATTTGTTGAGTGTTGTCAGATGTGCAACATTGTAAAAATGATGGAATTTTTCTTATTTATTCCCACAATACAAAATCTTCCCATATAAAAAAAATAGATCTAAATACATATTTATGTTTATGCTTTTGTTTAACGCCATTTTAAACTAAAAAAGAAAGCAAACTCTTAAAATCAATACAAAAAATATCAAAAAGTACATGATATGGGTTTTTGCTTTAGATGCATTGTTATTTTAATAGCTTACCCATTAAAACTCAGTGGCATGCAAAACAGGGACTAATTAGGATAAGTAATTCATTATGCATTATTATAGATCTGTCTGGTATGTATAAGAAATTTTTAAAAACGTGGAAGAACTTCAAGTTTTATTAAACAAAGCGTCATCATTTTCACAATACAAAATAAGACGCTTTGCATAATAAACTATAACTGCCTTGTCCCTTTGTGCTTTAATAACTTCTAAAATCATAAAGCTGTCAAAAAACATGTTTGTCTGGGTTACATCAAAAGGTTTTAGTTTTCAAAAAACTGTTTTTCGTCAACCATAAATTTTTACAACAACTGCATTTAAAATTCGTTCTTTGCTCGATATGTTTGTTTCATATAAATTTCACACTTTTTTAACCCAAAATTAAAACTTTTGTTTTTTGGCATAACTAAAAAATATTTGTTTACGTTTGATAAATATTTTCAGTTTTGACGTTTATTGGCTAATTTACGTACATTTTTGAAAGTGTTTTCAAGTTTTCGGTCTGTTTTATATTTTTTGAAATGAGAATTCTTTTTCTCCTGCCGACATGTGATTTGTTGTCTCTCTTTTTAACATTTTTTCAAATATTTGACTAGAGAGATCTAATGAAAAACGTTTAGTGTAGAAATGTAAATAACAACAAAATTTTCTCAATAAATTTTTATAAAAGAAAAATAAAGTCATATAAAAAATTAATGTCTTTATATTTAACAAGTCCCAATGCTCGATTTAAAAAAACCCATATTTTATATGGGTTTTTTTAAATCGAAGTGGCTATTTTTTGAGAAGAAATATTAAAATAAATTCACACTTATTCGAATTTATATTATAAAATTTCGAAAATATATTTGAAAAATCAAGAAAATATATTAATATTTTCATTTATAATTATTTTAAAATTCTTGAAACAGCGGAAAAACAACAAGCACAACTTTCCACTTAAACGTTTTATATGTTACTGAAAGCATTTCATTATTTTTCAGTGAAGAGCTTTTTTGTCTCATAGGGTCAGTTAACTCAAGATATGGGAAGTAACTCTAGAGTCAAGTTGAAAATATAATTAATGAAAGATAATTATTAAATATTGATATGAATATATATCTGACCATTGGTGCAGTGGTTATGGCACCGGTCCTTTAACCGAAGGGTCTCGGGTTCAAACCCCGGTCAGGTCACTATAAAAACTATATTCAATATTATTATAACTTAATATACAATACTAATAAATATTATACAAGTAATTTTCAAATATTCGTAATATTCGATATTAAAAACCTAAGAAAAATAAACAGTAAATATTAATAACCTCAAATAATTAATATAAATAAAACTCCGGCAGGCTAGTCACCTACCTAGTTAAACTCTATGACGCTATGAAACTAGTGCATTTTTTTTTTCCTTATTCACTAGGAGTGAATAAGGAAAAAAAAAAATATGAATATATAGTAAAGAAAAAATTTGAAGATGGAATTAGAAAATAATATCTAAAATACATTCAAATATTGTTTTTTAAATACAAATTTTATATACACTTCAAAATTTTACCACTATTTTTGAGAAAAATTTTTAAAACTTAATATACATATTATCTAAGTGAAAAAATATTTAAAAGGTTTTGTAAAAGACAATAATATATTCTTTTAACCGGATTCGAATATCTTTTTCATTTTTGAAATAAATATTATCTTAGCAAATGTCTCAAAAACTCCGATTGTAAAATGACAGCTAGTAGGTACTGATGTCAATTTTTGTCCGTTTGCGTTTACTACTAAGCTCAGGCAGGACCATTTTATAAATACATTGCTCTTGTTTACCTGCCAATAAAATATGAAAGAAGAGCACAACAAAATTTTTGAAGCACTCAATATAACATGTTTTAAATAGTTTTAAAATAATTATTTAAAAAAAATTGATCGGAAGTAGGTACATACATATTTATTTTTAATAACTTAAAAGCTAACTGAAATTATTTGAAACAATTTTATAAGTAACGTATAAATAATCGAAATGAGATAATTCAAATTGTTGAAATGTGTCAACCTATATTACTTTTATTAACATTTTTGTTAGCCGACACTACTCAACTTACCTTATTGGGAAATACAAAATGTACATGAAAAATCATACAAAATGTATATGACATTTGCTAAGATAATATTTATTTCAAAAATGAAAAAGATATTCGAATCCGGTTAAAAGAATATATTATTGTCTTTTACAAAACCTTTTAAATATTTTTTCACTTAGATAATATATTAGATTTAAAAATTTTTCTCACAAATAGAGGTAAAATTTAGAAGCGTATATAAAATTTATATTTAAAAAGTAATATTTGGTTGTATTTTAGATATTATTTTCTAATTCCCTCTTCAAATTTTTTCTTTATTATGCATTTATATCAATATTTAATAATTATCTTTCATTAATTATATTTTCAACTTGACACCACAGTTACTTCCCATATCTCGAGTTAACTTACCCTATGAGAAAAAAAGCTGTTCTAATGTCTTTATATCTAACAAGTCCCAATACTCAATTTTTTTTACGAAATGTTACGAATTTTTGGCCTCGTTGTTGGTTTTTTCTTTAAATGCCACTGATCGTGTCATATTTTTTATTATTTTTTTCTTTTTTTTTACGTAAAAAAGAGATTAATATTTTAAAAAATCTCAGGATATTATACACATTTTTTTAAAAAGCTCCCCATTTAAATTCTATTGCACGAAAAAGAAAGAAAGGTAGGAGGAAAGAAAAAATGAAAAAAAATTTCAAATTCATATTTCAGTATGGTTTCAAATGTTAATGAGGAAGGATGTATGATTTTTTATGCACATTTTGTATTTCCCAATAAGGTAAGTTGAGTAGTGTCGGCTAACAAAAATGTTATTAAAAGTAATTGGGTTGACACATTTCAACAATTTGAATTATCTCATTTCGATTATTCATACGTTACTTATAAAATTGTTTCAAATAATTTCAGTTAGTTTTTAAGTTATTAAAAATAAATATGTATGTACCTACTTCCAATAAATTTTTTTTTAAATAATTATTTTAAAACTATTTCAAACATGTTATATTGAGTGCTTCAAAAATTTTGCTATGCTCTTTTTTCATATTTTATTAGCAGGTAAACAAGAGCAATCTATTTATAAAATGTCCCTGCATGTGTATGTATGACCTATCTTAATTCTAAACGGAAAGAATTTTAAAATACCTGAACAAAAATTTTAAAATACCTGTTATTTTACAGTCGGAATTTTCGAGTCATTTGTTAAAATACCATTTATTTCAAAAATAGAAAAATATTCAAATCCGGTCATAAAAAAATATGATTGTTTTTTCCAAACATTTTAAATATTTTTTTTTCTTAGGTAATTGATATAAATGATAGTAAGTTTTTAATATTTTTTCAAATAAAAATAGAGGTAAAATTTTGAAGTTTATATAAAATTTGTATTTAACAAATAATATTTGATTGTATTTTAGATATTATTTTCTAATTCCCTCTTCAAATTTTTTCTTTACTATGTATTTATATCAATATTTAAGAATTATCTTTCATTAATTATATTTTCAACTTGACACCACAGGTACTTCCCATATCTTGCGTTAACTTACCCTATGAGAAAAAAAAGCTGTTCACTTAAAAATAATGAAATGCTTTCAGTAACAAATAAAACGTTGAAGGCGAAGGTTGTGTTTGTTGTTTTTCCGCTTTTTTTTAAATTTTAAAATAATTATCAATGAAAATATTAATGTATTTTTTTGATTTTTCAAATATATGTTCTAAATTTTACCTGCTTTATAATAAGTGTGAATTTATTTTAATATTTCTTCTCAAAAAATAGCCACTTCGATTTAAAAAAGGCCATATAAAATAAGGTGTGCTTTCAAGTTTCTCTCTGAGCATTGGGACTTGTTAGATATAAAGACATTAGCTGTTCACTTAAAAAAATGAAATGCTTTCAGTAACATGTAAAACTTTTAAGGGGAAAGTTGTGCTTGTTGTTTTTCCGCTGTTTTATATGTATTTCAAGAATTTTAAAATAAATATGAATGAAAATATTAATATACATATTTTCTTGATTTTTCAAATATATTTTCGAAATTTTACCTGCTTTATAAAAAGTGTGAATTTATTTTAATATTTCTTCTCA